GATTTTTTTCACTATTTTACCACATTAACTAGTTGTACAAGTCATAAGAATGTATCCAACAGGTTTTAGAAAAGTCCAAGAAGTTATTTAACATGTTTTGGATTGTCCAATGACTTATTTGTTTCAAAAAATTATCCAATGAGTTATTCAACATGTTTTAAATTGTCTAAGGACTTATTTGTTCCAAAAAATTGTCCAATGAGTTATTTAACATGTTTTAAATTGTCCAATGACTTATTTGTTCCAAAAAATTGTCCAATGAGTTATTTAACATGTTTTGGAATGTCCAATGACTTATTTGTTCCAAAAAATTGTCCAATGACTTAATCATTCCAAACACTAAAATCCATTGGGTTTTTAAAATTTTTCCCTCCTTCAATTCCCTTTTTGATATATTTATAAGGTGTTTTTTCCCAAAATCACTCTAACCTCTAAGCGAAGGAGGCTCACGTAACATAAATTCGACATATATAGGAATAGTCAACGGTCGTATAGTAGATATACCCCGTTATCGCTGCAAACCCCCCATTTTCGAAGCATCTATGATAACACCTTAATCACCTATATCGAAAATAAAAACATATCAATGGTAATGAAATATAAATTTTATAATTAAAAAAAAACATTATCCAACATTCAAATATTATACCCTTTTTTACAAATATTGATGCATGCAGAGAAACTTGATTCCCGTCATGCTGTTCACTCAAACACAATATCTAAAATACCCTTTTACCTCTTGCTGTACCTCTTCAAATGTCAACGCTATCGAAAGGAACTGCTCCTATTTATTGATCGAAAAAGGACAAAAACGTCATTTACATACAAACTGCTCTATGTACTCACTTTTGGCACTTGAAATCAACAAGTTATTAAGGGCTTCCAAGACCATATCCGAGAAAACCAAGCAGAATCTCCTAGTTTCATATCATTGCCTTCATTTTCCATGGTCTTTTCGCCCTCCCTCGCCTTCATAACTTCTTCGGGAACATTGAGAGGTGATCTCGGACCCACTTCTGATTGAGCAGCTACCAGCTGGTTCAACATTACCAAAACCTCACTCATCTTTGGCCTTGATTTAGGGTCTCTAGACAAGCATTTGTTTGCGATCAACGACAACTTCATTGCAGATCTCAGTGAGTATTGACCTTCGAGTCTATTATCGACTATGAGAGGAAAATTTTTGTCATCTAGGTAGGGTCTCACCCATTCTAGAAGTTTCTGCTCACCCGTGGGCCGGTTTCGGTCCAGGGGACGCCTACCTGTGATGAGTTCATAAAGAAACACCCCATAGCTCCATACGTCGTTCTTGGATGTGAGACGACCTGTCTGGATATACTCTGGAGCTGAATACCCCATCGTTCCTACCACCTGATGACATTATGTCTCGAAAATTTAGAAACTTTCAGATGAAAGGTTAAAGTTATGGTTAGATTATGATAGCTTACCGCTGTTGTCACATGGGTCAATCCTTCTTTAGGACCTAACCGAGCCAATCCAAAATCTGAAAGCTTAGCATTCCATTGATCGTCTAGAAGAATATTTGAAGATTTGAAATCTCTGAAGATAATCTATAGAAACATCAAACACAACAAAATTAGAGACTTGTATGCTAGGAATTCATGGTTTTCCAAAACCAGAAAATACCTGGAAGTCCATTCCTTCATGTAGGTATGCCAAGCCACGAGCAGTGTCTTGAGCTACTTTCAATCTCATTGCCCACGTCATCACTGTTCCGGATCTATTAGATAAATGATATTCCACACATCTATTAGGCATATATTCGTAGACTAGAAGCCGTTGGATTCCTTTTTCATGATCTTCTGCGCAGTAGCCAACTAATTTAACAAGATTTGGATGCTGAACAATCCCAAGAACATTCACCTCCGTCACCCACTCCTTGTGCCCCTGTTCGAACACAGAACCAAGACTATGAGCAGGTAATTCATACCCGTAAAAAGATTCGAACCAAAGTTTGTTATTGAGAATTGCATGAAGAACTCGACAAATGGAATACAAGATAGATGAATTTGCCTGAAATCCTCTTTTGCCAAGCTGCTTTACAGCCACATCGATATCTTTAGCAGAATCTCGAAGATTCTTAACCGTGCCACTGTAGACAGAACCGAACCCACCTTCTCCAAGCTTTGCAGACAGGCTAAAGTTCTTTGTAGCAGACTTGAGCTCAGAAAATTTGAACTCTCTAAGATTACTTGACCTTTTTGAGAAACTAGGATGCTTGAACTTTCTTAATTTTGTGCTTGGATCAGGGACCTTCGGGAAACTTGACTCTGGTCCAGACACAAAACGATCTGTGGATTCAGAAGTGAAAGACTGGATCGAACTTGATTTTGTTGGACTTATTGGTGCTTCGTCCTTGTCTTCACAATAAGAAAACTGAAAGCACATCATGGTGTCTGAAGATTTATTGTGTCAGGCTGTGAAAATCGAAATCAAACTTTAATTAGAAAAACTAATAAAGTAATATTCTTTATTAGATTACTAATTAAAAGATAGAGGGAATAAATTAATTAGTAGCATATGATGTTTATTGATCTAGAGAAGACATATGGGATGATCTAGAGAAGACATATGGGATGATCTAGAGAAGACATATGGGAAGGTGCTGAGAATTCAGCCCGCCCTTCTTAATTTCAGTTATGAATGAGCTCATTAAGGGCATATAAGAAGATTCAATATATTCTCAAGAAGGTATATAGATTATAGACCATATCCCACGAGTGAATTGAAGGCCAGATCTACATTGGATCTTTACTTCTCTTTGATGATATTGAGTAAATTAATGAACCACGGAATGTATTTACACGAAGTTGGAGGAATATTGGAGATCAACCTTGGAATGAAAAGGTTTCAGATTAAACCAAACTAAAACGCGCCAATAAAGGAATTGAAAATTGGCGATGAACATGTCTGCATCAGAAATTAGGAAAGATTTCTTTCGCTATTTGTAATAAATACTCTGCATCACAAAAACTTGGAGACTACAATCAGCTTCACCAATATCTTGTGATAGTTGCTAATGTGCACATTAGGTAAATCTTGCAAAGAAATATTTCCAAGACAGGCATCGCATTTTTATTAGACAACTCAAAATGCATATTTTTGGGATGGAAAGAACATTTTATAATAATCGAGAGATTGACCATGATTGTACTCATAAACTACGATAAGGGTGAATGCAGTGACAAGAAGAATCGTACGTCTTCTGGACCAAACGATTGCAGTGAAGTTGGACTTTCAATTTCATATAATTTGGACCTGATGGTAGGCCACCAAAAGACATCATGTGCAACAGAAGAGTATAGCATAATATGAAGGATATGTCACCACACAATGAGGGATAAGATTATGAATTTAACTTTTTGAAGAATTTTGGGGTTCAGATTTGTGATCATCTCTATATCATAAATATTGAGATGCACCAGTGACCCTAAGAAGACTCGAATTGACAACCGACAGATACAATGAGCAATTTTGTCCTCAGCTATATAGAGGGCTAGATGCTAACATTACCTGTAGTCATAGATTTACCAAGATCACATACCCATATCACTAAAACACCCTATCCTGTTGTATGATTCTCAATTTTCCTCTTACATGGTTGAAAAATAATTAAGGGTTTTTATATTTCATGAATTTTTAACAAACTAGTTCCTTGCTCAATTACTTGAAATCATTCTAATAACAACTCATTTTCTATAAAATACATTACTTAATTACAAGCAAATTGGAATATGCAGCTTCACCCTTCTTTGGTACATCCCTAGATTGTACATAATAACAGGATAGAATCAGTAGTTTACACAATCCTACATCACATAAATTCAGAGTTTTGCACACAAGATGAACAACTCGATTTAATCAATCACAAAATTATAAATCCCAAGTAAAAACCTGAAAACCCAAAGGAAAAAAAAACACCCGAATCGATTGAGTTAATCACAAAACTATGAACCCTAAGTCAAGAAGTCAGAAATGGAGTTTACCTTTAATCAGCTGAAAATCAATCTGATTGCAAAAGAGAGCAGCCCAAATCGGTTACTGTAAGAAGATGAAAAAGTGAGATGCAAAAGGGGAAATAGATGGCATGGAAGTCTTGACCTGACCATTATAAAGAGAGAGTACAAAACCCCCGCAACGACTAAATTTTGTTTGTATTCTAACGTTGGAATATTGGTTTGAATTGCATATTTTTATTAAATATCCAATTTTTATATAAATTATTGTAACTCTTTTATTCTTTGGCCTGTTATTCTTGAAATAAATAAATATATATATATATATATATATCTTATATATATATATATATATATATATATNAAATAAATATATATATATATATATATATCTTATATATATATATATATATATATATATATCTTGAATAGTTTATATATTGAGATGAACGGGGTAAGATGAATCAATCATCCAACGATTAACATTTATTAATAATTGTAAATATTCGTTATTGGTAGTGAATGATAATAAAGAAGACATGTTGACATTTGTTTTTAAAGTCATATTGCATTGTATTATGATAAATAGTAATAATGATTTAAAAGAATTGGTGTTACGGATAAGTTAATGGCAATTTGACAAGAAAATAATGATAACAATGTTCACCAAGAAAAGTGAATTTTTGGTGTTCTGATTACCATATAAAAATTCAATATATTTTTAACGAAGCTCAACTAAGTATATTTATGAAAGGTTGGTTGGATAATATTGTTTATTTAATAACTAAAAAGTTTAAAATTAAATAATAGCCAGGTGACTCTAAGATACATATTATATGTTCATATGTACAAATATAACAACCTAACTTTAGGACCTAGTTTCAAAGTGGGGTTCACATGAGGGAATATGTTTTCATTATTTGAAAAATCCTAGTCCAACAACTAACAGACGAGAGAAGAGGGTTTTGATGATTGAAAGAACCATGAAATCAGATCAGGATTACACATTCCATAATTTGATCATTATCAACAAATTCATCACACCAAAACCTTCTAGATTTAATTTAATCATAATTAGATCATTTATTGATTCTTTAGTGCCCATAATGTCCTAGCAACATTTGGTAATGGAGTTAAGACTTAAGACTAAGGTTGAAATGTTGTTAATTTGATGAAAAAACACCTAATACGTGTTGTGACGAATAGAGATCAAAGATTCAATTTTGATACATAATATGATGTTTAAATCGATGTATGTGTTTGTGTTACAAGTATTTGTAAGCAAAAGTGATGAAGAAAAACTGATAAAAACAAGCTAGAATGACTTATAAAAAGACGTTGCACATTGATCATTTTTGGTACAATACAAACGGCTTGCAAAGTTGCATAGCCAATGCCCAAACGCACAAATATGAAGTTGGGAAGTTGTCAAGATGTCTCATAGGTTAGGCAATGCAATTTCAACTTGCGTGGAAGTCACTAAACCCGACAACTTTAAAAAAAGACTTCAAGAAGTACCACAAAATCATATAGACCCTTAAAAATTAATTGAAAAACTATATTTTTCATAAGAATAAGGGAAGATGTGTGACAATGTATGTATTTATCGCTACTATAAATAAAAAAATCAAGTACCGAATATATAGAAGTGTATATCTTAAAATAAAATAAAAAATACAAAAGAAATGAAATACATCATTTAAAACATAATCTAAAATACAACTTCCAAAGTTTGTACACATAAATGCATTTTAATGAAATGTAAATTGTTTCGATTCTAAACCTATCTTAAAAGGTTAATTTTGATGTTTATGACAAGACATCTCAACCAAGATAGTTTAATAATTTTATTTCAAGGAAAGTTTTTGTTTATAAGACCATAACACATTTACTTTTATTTGTTCACAAAGGTATAATATGTTTCATAATTACATCAAAAACACAGTTTATTCCTCAATTATAATAAATACATAATACATTCTTCAAAATAATTGTATTTTTGAAAATAAATTTCCAAAAATGAGAAATGTAAGAAAGTACATCCCAATTAAATACAATTTGCTCCTTTTTATTATTAACTCGCTTTAATATATAAAATCATATAATGTTATGGATGGTAACATAAGTTTGTGGTTGGAAAATTACCCCCAAACTTCTAAGACTTAGATAGGCCTGTAAAACAAATATATTAAAAAAGATAATCCATTGTATATTAATATGATTCCGTAGCCATATTAATTAATTGTCAAACTTTAAAAATTATGTAAAATGGTTATCAGGTAAAGGGAGTTTCAAATACAAATCACTGAATTTTTATAAATCAATCATGATTGTGACGAATATCTGGTTACATAATTTTTTATTGTTTTTTAATCTAAAACAAAGATCATAACAAATGAATTATATCACATTCCATAATTATCTTAATTGTTTGTTAATATAAGTGATTTTTTTTAACGATACACATCTTTTTTACTTTCTCATGTTTTTTATTTAAATATCTCTCTCTCTCTCTCTCTCTCTATATATATATATATATATATATATATATATAAATTTTAGAACGACGTTTGTTTTGAATGTTAATTACACATAACAATTACATAAGCAATTAATTAGATCTCAAATAATATATATTAAAGTGTAAATATTGTTGAAACATCTAGATATGGAATTAATTCAACTTTCTTGGGCGCACATAACATCATCTTATTCCCATTTGATCAATCATGGAATTTGTTTTGGATTTTTCACTTTGATTAATTAAATATTTCGCCATTTCTTAAATATACAATTCAAATTTCACATCTTTTTTAATACCAAAAAAAAAAAAAAAAAAAAAAAACCAACACTTCTTTTTTCTTATATCATGGTATTGATTTTATAGTTTATAGTAATTTATTTAAAAATACGAACATGTATAAATACCGTTAATACGAAAAGCATGTATCTTGTAACACTCTCATGGGCACTACAATTTGTAAATATAGTAATTTTAATTAAACAAAAAAAATACCAAGTATGAAATTTCATTAAGTACCTTATAATTACAAAGTTGTCATCGCAAGAAATGTCATACTTTAAAAAGTTATCACGTTCTGAAAAACAATCACTATGTTTAAAAGTTGTTCATCGTAAAATAAATTACGTTGTAAAAGTTGGTGTCAACGGTGGATTATAAATTTTCTTTGAGCGGTCAGGCATATAGAACAATTGTGGTCACTGAATTTATCAGGGTTGGTTTCTTGTAAATGATGTGAGTTGAGCTCAAGTACTGATATATTCGACCCAAACTCAAAAGTCCTTTCTCAAGCTCAAACTCGATTTGAAAACTCACGAGTAATTAAAAAGTAAGTTGGACTTGAGAGTCATTTCTCAGCATCGATCGATTACCTGATTGCAGGAGTGTCTGATGAGAAGCAGTAGAAATCGATTAGCACACTTGAGAAATCGATCTTGGCGTGTCTGATTGTGGGGGGAGGCATGTCTTCAGTAGAAAAAATCGATCAATTCCAGATTTAGGAGAAATTGATCGATTGAGGAGAAATCAATTAGCACACTTGAGAAGATCATCAATTTTAGAACGGCATGAAAGAGGCAATTGATGAGAGGCATGAAAGAGAGTCGCACGTATCAGGGGTGAGGGTATAATGGTACATTAGGTCTTGTTCCATGCATGTTCCACATTTGTCCAAGTTAGTTCCGATCAGTTCCACATAAGGACATGCCAAACATGGGATAAGTGTGTTCTGTCATGTCTTGTCCCACTCTGTTATGCGTACCAAATGCACCTTTTAAATTTATAAAACTAAAAAGATACGCCTCAAACTTCATCATCAAAAGGATAAAGTTACAAACTACATTCACCTTCCTCTCTTTTATAACATTTCTTCACCCTTTTTTTACTATCGTTTTCTCAAAGTGGGACAACTTCATTAACACTTCTATAGTTTTTTTTGTCTTCTTTTAATTATGATTTTAGTAAAAAAATAATTGATTAAGTTTTATAGTTAAAAATGTATAATTTTTGTTCAAATATATAAAATATACGATATTTTTAATATCTTATATTTTACAAATTATATCATAAAATTGATTATATTTAAAATTAATTATATATAAAAATATCGAGTATCTCACGAGTTTTTTGAGTCGAGTATTGGGTAGCTCGACTCGACTAGTTAATATGCCTTGTCGAGCTCGAGTTCGAGCCAAACTTATTCGAGTCGAGTATTGACCAAGTCGATATCGAGTAGCTCGCGAGTTGTCTCGATTTAGAGGTTCACTACATGCTTGGAATTCTCCTAAAATGTCATTTTCATCCCTTATGATCATTGATCAGCATGGTATAGTTATACACTCAAGTAATTAATTAACACTTGGATTTTACTGTGTGTTTATTTACATAATTAACATATGAATCATAAAAGTTCTAATTGCTTGTATTGAACTTTTTATATATATATATATATATATATATATATATATATATATA